TTTCCTCTTTTCTTGTTTGTAAGTGTAAATGTTTTAGGCAAAGGTTTTCCATGAGAAATTAAATGTTTTGCTGTTTTATGTTGACCTAAGAAGCCCTGTAACTTAAAATGAAACTCTGCAAAAGTTAACTTATTAACTTTTGGAAGTATATGTGATATGCAAGTATATACATACTGAATTATCCTAAATATTTTGAGGTAATATTGTGATCACAATAAAAGTAACGATATTATCACTTATTTTTGGTAGGTGTGGCATGACGGAGCAATCACAACTTCATAATCACAAATATTGCTCTTGAAAAACATTCCCACTTTTAATACGCTTCATTACGACACCAGTCACAAAAAGAAGCGTGATCTGTGTCTCACAGTAACTGCATCTAATACAATTTTCAAATTAAATATTTATTGTTACTCTCATTGAACAAAGAGTGGAGAAAATAGTAAAACCAACAATCTTGATGCAGCGTTATCAAAAAAAGAAATTTATCACGATAAAAGACAAACAGTACGATAAATGCACAGCCCTAAGCTGATGTTGAATAATTATATGATAACTATATGAGTGACTGGTCCTGCTGATGTCACCGGGGGGAGGGGTGTCACCTCGCTCTGATTCGTCAGAGGGACGTCATTCGCCGTGACTTGTCAGCCGGACGACCCGTGTCTGTGACCTCTTGGAGGTTTTTTTTGCAACGGTAAGAGTGAATGGAGGAAACCAAAGTGGAAACTATGGAAGGACACGCAGTTAGTTGGAGGACATCCTGCAGCTCTGCCCACCTCGCCCCGTCTCACTCGCCCTGACTTCCTCCTCAGCACGCCGCTGATTGGACCGCACAGAAGCAGGAAGTTGGACAGATTAGCCTCCGTCCCCCGTTACCTCCAGGTTAACCTGTAGTGCCCGTGAGGGGAGTTTTCAAACAATTCAGTGTGATAACATTTATTGGCCTCTTTATTGTCTTTGAATAGATCTCACCCTTCACTAAACAACCAGTGAAGATGTAAAAAAACCAAAATCTTCACGTATTTTATTTTTCTTGTTTTGTGTTGCTAGCTTACGTCACTGAAGCGACAGGTTATCGTTTCTCTTTGTGTTCTTTGTGTTTGTTTTGCAGCCGTGTGCAGGCAGGGATGCCATCAGACTCATGGTTCTTGTACCGTCCCTGGAGAATGCAAGTAAGTTTCTGAAACAACTACCAACATTGGTGTTGTGTTAGCAACTCTCCTATCACTGCCATGAAAATACTAATAAATTCCCCTCATCTATGTCATATAATTGCCTAACAACTAGACTTCCTTATAATGTTGTGTTTTTGATCAGTAGTACTCCAGACTTTCTGAAGGTTTTTTTTTTACTTTCCCTGCTTTTTTTACTCATGTTTTGCACACTGCTGCACTTTTCATAAGCATAAAAGGATAAAAAGCTCTCGAATGTATCAAGCAGTATTGTTTATGAAAAACAACTTAATTAAAAAGCACAAAACATCAACATTTATGCAGTTTGTCACCAGCAGTTGTTAATAAAAAACCTAATTTGTGAAACACAGGAACAAGTTTGGCTCTGCACAGAGATGGCAAAACATGTTTGTGTCAAACTATGCTGGACTTTGAGTTTATTTTGTTCCATCTTGTGTTTCGTTTATCTCTGTGTTCCCAAGCTCTGCTGTTCATTTTCCCTGACTGCCTCTGATTCTGACATCACATAGTTTTTAACAAACTCTCCACAGCATGCTCAAAAACATAAACTGCACTGAAAATTTAGTAATAAAAAAATTATTTGAAGCTTAATAAAACAGTGTAAAACATTCAAAAATCCCAGATAATTGTTGATTAAAACCATTTTTAAAAGGCTGAAATAAAAGATGTTCATTTGGAAGCACAACGTAAAAATGTTTGGGTTGGCAGAGATTAAATATCAATGTTTGTGTTTAGAAGAATAAAACAGACACAATGTTCGTTTCTCCGCAGCAATCTTGTACAGATGAAGTTGAAATTCATGTATTCAGTTTTCATTCACTAATAATATTCCAAGACATGATATTCTGAGATGCAGTCTGTCTCTGCTCTGATTGTAGGTGTCACTACGGCTGGACGGGAGCTCTGTGTGATCAGTGTGTGACGTTTCCCGGCTGTGTGTACGGGAGCTGCACCGAGCCCTGGCAGTGTGTGTGTGGCGTCAACTGGGGAGGTCTGCTGTGTGACAAAGGTGTGAAATGCAAAATATTTCAACGGTTTGTGCTGAGATGAACCAAGCGCCGAGTGTCAAGAGGCCCTGAGGATCGAGATTTTGACCTTTGAAAGGATTTGAATAATCCTGCTCATATTTTATTGTTTCAGTCAAAACACAGTAGAGTCAGTGCATCTAATTGCTTTTGCATGAACACTTTTTCCTACCGTTGATCCAGCATATTGGCGATGACTAACAGATATTGATAATGGCATCAGAGATTAACAAAATATTTTCTGTTTTTTTTGTTCAAACAACAGAAAATTGTGAAGCCCGTACGACTTTTTGATGGATTACAGTTCACAGCCCGGACGACTTGGTGCAGACATTTTCAACTTTACACACAGAGTACAGCGTACATCGCGGAAGCAATTAAATCAATCATTAGTTGCTTCCGGAAGCAACTAATGATTGCGGAAGTGAACTAGTGATTGCTTCCGCAGTCATTAGGAGAGGGAAGTCTGCGCCTCCCTTCTTAGGCCGGTTCCTCCATGACCCGACCTCAGATTATCAGAGGATAAAGGATTAGATTTTCTAAAAAATAAGGTCAAACTCATAAACCAGTTCAGACTTATTTATACTTTATTCACAGAACTTGGTAGCTACAGTACAGGTACACGACTTTAAGCACCTGCATAATGTTTTATGACTTCCAGAAATGTTTAATCTGCTGTAGATTCGTTTTTAAGCCTGACGCTACTTTTGTTCTCTTTAGCTACTCCTCTGCTTGCAAGAAAAATCTAAAATAAGACACTTAAAGATCAGTGTAAACATTGTGCACTTTTGCAAATCTGTTGTTGGCATTCATTACAAACATGGCTCTCCAGGCCTGAAATCAACAGGCATCATCAGAGCACATGAAGAGCTTCACAGAGCTTTGCATGTTGACCAAGGAAAACCCTGCCTGCCTGCAAGACGGAGAAAATGGTGTGTGCTGTTAGCTTGTCAGGCGTGGTTCTTTACACATGACTTACGGATTCCCAGACAAGAAAAAAAGAAGAAGAAAAAAAAGCACCTGAAGGCTTAAAGTTTTCCAGCAGACTGTAGAAAAGTTAGATCCTCTGACCCAGAGCGAGAGCTGGAGTCCAGCTTGTGCCCAGGGGACGGAGTATTGTGGAGAGGAAAGGTGATAGCCTTGGGTAGGGCGATTATGGCGCGGCACTCTTTGCTAGGTGTGGCCCTGTGCAGTTTCTGCTCATTCAGACAGGCACTTTAAAGGATGACAGAGAGACAAAGGAACTGTGGGAAACGAAGAAGATGATCAGGGAAGATTTTCCTTTCTTTTTCCTCCAGAGTGGACACAACAGGCCCTGCAGCTATCTGCTGCACAGTCAACAGTGACCTAGAATCACCGTAGACTTTCTGCATCCATGTTAAAGAAACATGGTTGACAAACTATCTCCATTTTCATTGCCTCTACATTTCAATAGAAGTGTTTTTTTGTTTTTTTTGGTGATTTTTGCTGAAACATTAAACACTATTTTAAAAAAATTTCTTCATGTTTCCAGATCTTAACTACTGTGGGACACACCAGCCCTGTAAAAACGGTGGGACCTGCACCAACACAGAGCCAAACGAGTATCAGTGCGAGTGCCAGGAGGGTTTCAGAGGACGCAACTGTGACATCGGTGAGAGCCGCGGTGCGATGGATGGATGGATGTCAGAATGTTTTGAACTGACAGAGGACACATAAGAAGTAAAAACGATGTCAAAATAACACATTTTCTTACCTGAGAAACTTTATGCTCACAAACAAAACTGCCTTGGTTCTCTGGCTGCTGACTCTGTCAGTCGTACCCGTCCATGTGAGGAACAGGGTCATTTCCTCATCTCTCATCTTTGGATGGTTCCCTCCATAGAAGCCGTGATTCTGCTTGTTTCAACATCCTGAGGCAAAAATAGTTAAAACTGATTTTAGTGGAGAGAAACCTGCCCTCATTTAACCACTGGTAGTAAAGATGAAACAATTAATCGAATAAATCGATTATTGAAATATTAGTCAACTAATTTACTAATAAAATAATCGCCAATTGGAGCCACAAATTAAAAAAATAGAAACATTTTGTATTTTGAATTAAAAATCTTTATTGTCTGTAAATACGTTCTACTCAGCACTCCTCACGGATCAGTTTTAGTTTCACCTGGATAAAATTTTGTTAGTTTCTCTATTAAACACCTATTTGATATCCAATTGGTTAATTAAAAAATAGTCAACAAATGCATCCAGAATGTTAAATCAAGCAGAAAATGATTATTTATTTAGTAATTTTGTAGCTGCAGATGCATCCTTTGCTATCTTATTGCATTTTATGCAATACAATGTTTATTTTCTTATTAATACTGTATTAAATAAGCTTAAATGGTTAAATAAAAAAATCTGAAAAATTATAATTTTTTTTTCATTCAATTAGTTGAATAATTGATTATTAAAATAATTAGCTGCAGCTCTTCACTGTAGTGGCTAATTTCTAGAGGGTGTGTTTTAAATGCTTTTTTTGTGTTAGAAATGTGTTTTAAATAACTGAACTGCTTTGAAAACCAATTAGAAGACAGATTGCTACTTATTTTGCCATCTTTTAATATTTTTGGCGTTTTCTAGCTTTAAAAATGTGATGGAGTCATCAATTCAAATTTCTGAAAAAAAAAAAAAAAAGAACTCAAAGGTGATCCATTTTCAGCTTTGCTTCTTGTGTCTTCCCTCCCGTCAGTGGAGCACGCCTGCCTGTCTTCACCGTGTGCGAACGCCGCCACCTGTGTCGAAGACCCCAACGGCTTCAGCTGCGTCTGCCCCGAAGGCTGGACCGGAAACACCTGTGCAGACGGTGATTGTCGATTCCGCACACATGGGAAGCCTGAGCCGAGCGAGAGAAAGGGGAGGGAGCTTTAAGATTGTCTGAGATTGGCTGTAATTGGATTAAAGCCACTTAGTGACTCCAATCAATCCAGGGGAGGAAGTTAAATCAGCCTAAACAGGAGCAGCCTCAACAATAATCAGTGATCTGGCTGTGAGTGTGTGAGTGTGTGAGTGTGTGTATCACCTGCGCCTCTGCTGAGTTGGAAAAACAGAAGCAGCACTCTGAGCTTTATAAGGTCTTATTGGCATCAAATTGAGGGTTTAAAGTCTAATCCTTTGGTATCAAAGGTGGCTCCTAGGTGTGATTTCTTCCCTTCCAGAAATATCTGGACTTTGTCCGCCTCCAGCCGTCTGATGTGGTGGATTATGTTTCTCAAAAAGCCTTGCCCAAATTCTAAATTGTCGAGAAAAGCAAGGAAAAGACGGATCCTGAAATTGTTCCCACAAACTGGCACAAAAACCTGCTTGAGTTCAAAGTCAAACGCTGAATCACACCCCATAGTCGCAGTGAAATATCAGGAGCACCGAGTGCACTTTTTTTTTCTATTTATCCTAGTGTCAGGTCACAACCAGACAAGTAATAAATGCACCTCGGCGGGCTTTGTTCACAGGCGGGAGAGCTTGTGCTAAAACATCCGGTTGGCGTTTTTTATGTGCGTCCGTGAGAAAAACAGAAACGGGACCAAAGTGCCTGCCAAGAGAATATCATTTCATCAAAGTTTGTTTGCTCTGCGAGCAACCGGAGACCACTGCTAAGCATAACAACAATTCACAAATACACACATGTGTTTAGAAAAGGAATGACATGTTGTTGTTGGCATTCGTCTTCATCAGTCTGCAGCACTCCATGCCTGAAGTTTTTTTTTTTTTTTTTTTTTTTACTAGGAAAATATGTTATACCAGACAATCTGACTTTAAGGGTTATGAACACCAGCTGATCATAAAAGATGGAACTCATAGCAGCAGTAAAATACCACATGATGTTCAGTAGTCGGCTTCAAGACATCTGGAGAGTTTATTCTCTCGGCACACATTAGAAACAGAACAAACTGGGGTCACAGAGGTTTATTTCCAAGATCCCTTTCGCTCCAGACTCGACGTTAAAATTGAGCCAGAACGTGGATGTTCTTTGCAGAGTCTTGAAGAGGTTTTCTGGGATTCTTTAAGATCGATCCAACTTACAAGTGATGGAGGACTGGAGCTCCCTGACTCTTTCTGCCATTACCACGGACAACCTGGCAGCTGCAGTGGCAGCTTATACGTGGCGTGCTTCCATGCAAAACAAGCGCCGCTTGTTTATCACATAATTCAAAGGAGGCCTGGCCTAACGTCAACCTAACCTACTTTTTGGCTGGCATCGCTGCAAGTCGTTTATTGCCATACTTTTGGCACCACGGCTGCTGAGTGCATGGCGTTCTGCCCTCCCTGTCCCCGCAACAGAAAGGACCTCACAAAGCGGCTGGAGCAAACAATCCCACCTCCCTGTGCCTCCCAAAAGAACGACAACAAAACGTGTTATGGGTACGCCCATGTGACGTAGATGGGATTTTTTTTCACCCTCCAAAAAATATCCGACCTGTACCGCTTCCATTTGTGGAGATAATTTGGATGCATATTAGAGAGTTTTCAAAGTGTCTGGAGTCTGAACGGTCATGTTGCATTTTATCTGGCTTTTATGTCTTTGATATGAGGACATGCAGCATAATTCTGCTCCAGACATAACCAGACGGTAAATCGGGACAGAAACAGTCGCTGAAAATTCCTATTATAAACTTATGAAGGAGTCTGTCAGTGCAGCGCATCACGTCACAGTCAGACCACTCTTGGCCCTGACAGCATCCAAACAGATTTCTCCACAGAAATAAAAGACCACTAAAGATCATTTCTATGAGTTGTGCTGTCTTTTTTTTTTTTTAAGCTTCCTTCGTCTTATGATCTCGTGACGATTCTGACGGCTCCCGTTGCTGAGTAAACTTTAAAATCCATCCATAAACGGCTCCATCCATTAACACTTCCGTAAACCGTGCGCTGCGGTGTGACGTCACCGTTCCTGTGTGCTTGCGGGTTGCTTTGAGGACGTGAACTGTTCACACCAATGACTCACTGGATGTGAGTGAAAATTTCTTTTCACACTCGCTGAATTTTGCCCAAAGGCGTGGCTCCAGATGAAAATTAACGCCCAGGATGCCAGGCTTCTGTAAGAATCCTGCTGATCAGGCGATGAAAATGCAGTTTGCTCTTCCACGCCGTACCTGGAACTGGTCGTGGAGGCGCAGAAACCTCTCGCACTCAAAGGGAATGTAGGCAGATTCTGCAACAGCCAGACCAAAAATCATATCATGCATATCAAAACAGACTTTCCTCATTGGCGGTGTGATTTTCCACCACATAGAATATTCAACATGTTAAATGTACTTTTACCAGACTGGATTGTTGTTGCCACCCTTCTTAAACAACAGGTGTAAATATTTTAATGATAAAACAGAGAAGGTAATGCTTTATAAGTTTACCAAATTAATGTTTTATCCTTGGCATTTTTCACAAAATAAAAGCCAAACGGCACTCCATGCCTTCTGCACACAGCCATGGCAGAAAAAGCTGACAGCTAAATTTGTGGTGCTGATTATCTCCGGAGTTTCGGGTTTTTTGCCGAATGCAAATCGAATGTGCCAGTGTTGAGCGTACACTGCGCCCTGCTCAATTTCTAAAAACAAAAAAACAAATGAGGCATCAGTTAGACGAAAATCTGTGTCTACAAGAATTTTTTTCAGAGGGAGATCTTCGCTTTTAATTGCAGCACAGCGTTGCAGAGTTCTCACCTTGCAATTACCCTGTCGGAAAAACAAGGCTCATTCTCAGACCCACTATTCAGAAAACGGCTTTTAATGAAAGAATGTACTCAGAACATTAACAGCCTCTTTGGTTGAGGCTGAAGCGTGTTTGTGGATCAGCTTGGAGCTCGACCGTGTGATCCGACGTGTCTGTACAGCAGGTGAGAAGATCTCATGTTGTGTGTTGCAGCAGGTGAGATACGATCACACGGTTTATGGTCTGTTGGAGCTGTTTGTGTACATGAGCGCCGTTCCACATTCCCTGCTTTCACCTCCAACAGGATAAACGGTGCTGCAGGTTGGACTCCAGCGTGTGTGTGTGTGTATGTGTTTGTGTGTGTGTGTGTTTGTGTGTGCGCCACGTTGAGAGGCTTATTTTTACGAAACGAAAAAAGGGACCAACAGAAAAATAGTTTATTTTCGCTGGCGTTGTTTGCTGCTCGCATGATTAACTGTCAGGGAGGCCGACTATCTCTGTATGTGTTGTTGTTGTTGTTGTGGGGGTGGGACGGGTGGGATGGGCACTCTGGGGAATGCACAACGTGAGGATCGTCAAGCTTGCAGGGAATTAAAACCATAACCACAACACAGCTCCGTTTTCAGCCAGGATTTATGTTTATAACCGATATTAATTAAAGGATTCTTTGTTTGTTATGAAATCTCGGACTGGCTTTAGAAGAAGTGCCGCCACCTTGGTAGGATTATTGTTGCTTGGGGTTGGAGTAGGGGTCAGGACGATGGAAAATGGCTCCTCTGCAAGGTTAGGTAAATTGGGGAAAAAAATGTTATGAGAGACACAGAAGCCTTATGACTGTCAGATCTACACCACAGAGATATATATTCATGGGAAAAATGAGGATACCACTGCGACACAAAGAAGTTATGTTCGGTTAGCTTCTCTCTTTGTTTCCACTTTGTTTAGATTCCTTGCCAGATAAGTGGAAACAGGCCTCCTCCTTTGCATTATTTAAGCCCACTCGTTGCCCCCTTCCCTCGCCAGCAAAAGGTTTGAAGTGTCAGTCATGAGCACGCTGAAGAGGACTCTGTTTATCGCTGGTTGCACAGAATTCAGAGGAGCAGAGACTGAAAACAGCTACAACCACAGCATGATCGTGGCATCACATGATCTTAGTAACACGCACGATGCCTACTGAATATTCACACTCACATTCCCCTTACCCAGACCAGCAGCTCACGAACGAAATGTTGTTCTCTCTTTCTCATCCCAGCGGTGCGGCAATGTGATCGCAACCCCTGCGGACGTGGAGCGACTTGTCAGGAGGCTCCTGGGAGTTTCCGGTGTCTCTGTCCGCCAGGATGGACCGGCAGGACATGCCAGCTGGGTCAGTGGGTTAGGCTGTATTGAAAGTGATGCACACTCGATGACCCCTATGAATCATGAGAAGCATGAAAAATATACGTCTGTGCATGTTTCTATTATCCTAATATTAGTTGCAAAATTTAAGAACCAGAAATACAGAAGATGCCGAGTCATTAGTTGCTATGGTGATTTCACTGTAGGCTTTTTTGCGCTAATTGTCCACTTCAGTTAGCGGTGTGCAATATTGACTTAGAATTTTATTACAATACTTGTGGTACCATTGTGATAACAATAAAAATGATTATGAAAAATGCACTTATCACTGTTTTTTGGTAACTGTATGCCTGTGACTGCATGGCACACCATTAATGGCATCACAAACATGAATCCCATTCTTGAAAAACATTCCCATTTGAAGAGTAGGCTTCAACATTTAAAGAAGTGTGATTTATATCACTAAACTCCACACAGGAACAGCATTTAATCATATTTTTGAATTTACTGGTGTTTACTGATGAACAAGAGAAGAAAATGTTAAAAATAACATTTTTGACTGTCAGTTTTTCTTACTATTAATTGAAATATATGAAGACAATAATTAATCAAAACTCGTATATCGTGATACAAATTTTTCACGATGAATGATGCACTTTATGATAAATGCTCATAGCTTCAGTCCGTTTTACCATAACTTGTTATAATTAGTATAATTATTTTTTAATGCCTTCCTAGGTAGATGTAGAAGTAAATGGTCCATCTTCTGATTTACAATTTCCTGCGTTAATTTGTGCCACAGTAAAACAGACCGTTACGGTGGGGTTTGGGTCGTTACACCGGGGGACCGCAGACCGACTCAACTCAGTCTGTGAAGCTAACATTTAAACAAATGCGGTTAGCTTATCATTCAGGAGGTTTACTCCTTCACTGTGGCGGATACAGGAGCTTTACTGACCTTTTTAAGTTGTTGTTAAACATCCGTTTCATAGCATTAGCTTGTAGCATCACTCAGCATTATTTTCTTGGAGCAACGCTGCTGCGTTCGGCTTGTCCGCTTAAGTTGGTCGAATAAGTTATTTGTTGATTTACTCGCTATGCTATAGCAGAGTTTAAAACTTCCGGCAGCAGCTTGTTTTGGTCAGGAGAGGCTGCAGGAAGGACAACCATTTGGGCGAGTGTGGATTTGATGCAAATGAACATCTTTAAATATATATTTTTTCTATCAATTACGTGAAAGCATTAATTATTTTGACAACAGTAATAACTTACCATGTATTAATCATTGGCATTTACTCCTTATTGACATCTTTCGAAAATAAATAAATAAATCTATAAGTCTTAGGTAAAATCAAACTAATCAACGATTATTTGATAACGCCATCAGTGCTGAAATGACCAAGTAAGCGCCAAAAGAAAATGTTATTTTATTTTGTTGCAATGACTAATCTCTTTGGTAATAATTGTCTTTTCGTTCACAAACAAACATTTACTTCACTGTTCAGAAATTTTGACATGCAGTTCTTGTGACATATTGGTTTGGTTGTAAAGTTTTCCCTACAAATGTAACCACCATTACACGTAATCTAGAGGGGAGCCGTGTCACACAGTTCATTCTGCAAACGCCTTTGGGAAATTTATGAACTGTGTGTTGAGAAACTCTTGACACCTGCATCAAATGAAATAAAATCAAGCTGTAAAATTCATTTATTTTTAATGCCCTGTTTAACCAGGGATGAAAATCTCTTGAGAGCCCCGGCAAAGACAGCTGTTATGTTTATATATATATATATATATGTCTTAAATCAAAAACACAGTACAGTTGTGACCCGTTTAAAAAACAAATGGTCCCTTTTATGGATTGTCTTTAGTTTAGATTCCCCTCATGTCTTCATAAAATAACAGAAAATCTGTGAGCAGCACAAATCAACCAAAAAAAAAAAAAAACATAAAGTGCAAAATCTGGAAGAAAACCAAACTCTATGAAGTAGTAGTGTGTGATTACCTCTAATTTGAGGGAAAATGTGAATTTAATGCTCAAATTAAAAAGCAGAGGAAGCCAGTAGCATCTTAATGCTCACATTAACCCTCGCCGACTGAGGATTAGTCCTCTCTCTAAATGCACCTTCATGTCCCTTTGGGTTCACTCGTCCTTTCCACAAATGGAGTGTATAGCTGCTTTACCGCAGTACGAGTTCTCACACAGGAAAAAGCTGAAGCACACACTTTCTGTTTACATGCGGAGGCTTCGGGGCTGTGGAGTGAAAACTGAAACATATTTCAGGATGACAGCCACTCCTGCTCCTCGGTGTTACAGTGATATGTCACCCTGACACCTCATAATCCCTCATAGTTCCACATCACAGATCAGGAGCCCACAGCATAACGTCTGCAGGCAGACAGAGATGCAGAACGTCAGGAGAGCCTCGGTCGTAAGAAGTATTTACCCTTTATGCTTCAGCAGATGATTTCTGCCCTGAATCATTTTCTGATGACAGACTCCTTTAAACATTTAAACTGAGAGCTGAGTCTATATTTACTGTCTGACATAGACAGTACATTTATCTTTAACTAACAAGCTAGAATTTTTTATTTAACTTTCTCTGTGCTGTCAGGGACCCTCGGGGTTCCCGGCTTTTGCAGCTTTTAATGACACTGAGACTGGAAGAGGATCAAAAATGCCGTTAACTTGATTTTACTGTTGATTTCTAAGAAAAATGTTTGACTAAAATGTGCTGTCCCTTATTATTTCAAACTAGGAACATTTAAAAAATTAAGATAGAATTTACTGAGGGGTTTTGTGTTTTATTTCAGCAATTAGATTACAATGATTTAGTTTGTTAGTTTGATATATATTTTTATTTCTATTCCCTTTAAAACAAACAGTGTTGTGAAATGGTTTTAATCCCATAATTTAATTTCTCTGGTTTTGCTTCCCAAGAGCCAGATAAAGTTATCAAACTTTCTCTAACCTCTCATAGTTTTTCTTTTTGTTGTTGTTGTTTTTTGGCTCTTTTTTTCTTTCCTGTCCATGTGTTTTGTCCTGACATCAAACTGCTCAGTGTGTATAGAGAAGGAAATAGAAATGATCATTTTGAATTTTGATTCATCACTAGAACAAGAAACTCTACTCAATCATGTTTGGAAACCCCCAAACCGAAAGTGTTGGTTAGCAAAACGATAGCTTGTGAAATTATGATTTAACACAGTTATTTTTGTGCTATTTATTAATAATAAACCTGCGCAAATTACTAAATAACTGGAATACAGACGTAGCATATTTAAATGCTAAGTTGTGGCGTTTGCATTTGAAACGTGACAAAGATGGTTAAGCATTTAAAGAAAAATAAAGTTTTTGCGAGATTTCGTTGCTAAGCGGCGCAGATTATTTTGACGTGATTTTTCTCTTTCTCCTCTGCTGCGTTGCACCTTTAGATGCCAATGAATGTGAAACGAGTACGTGCGTCCACGCCCGCTCTTGTCGCAACCTGATCGGCAGCTACCTGTGCGACTGCCTCCCTGGATGGACTGGGCCGAACTGCGACATCCGTGAGTACAGAAGAGGAGAAAGGGAAAAAAAAGCAAACACAAAAGGAAAGGAAATTGGTTGAAAGAGAAAAGAGAAGCGATTGTCTTGTGGCAGGTAGTGAAACACAATGAGGCTTTAAAGAGCAGCTCAGCTGCAGCTCAGAGTTTCTGTGGACAGGAGATCGTTTTACTCCAGCAAAGTCGTTCTCACAGAATATCACTGACAAACATAAACAATAAAAGGTCCTTTTTGTCCTTTCATTTGATGGATGTAATTCCTGCCTGGCTTATGAAGCAGAAATACCAACAATGCCGTCATGTTGTTTCATTTTATTAAATTATTGTGTTTTCTGTGTCTAGGGAACAGCAGCTGTCAGGATTTGTGTTTGAATGGCGGCCATTGTGAGGTGAGAGTCCTGGCCTCTTTGTCATCAATCTTTACTTGTTTACAACATTAAAAGAAATACCTGAAATGCTACCTGCATTCAAAATATCCTTACCTTTATGTTATCCTCTCAGAGGCACATGTGTATTAATGCGTGTGTCAAATCTATGACATGTCCTTTCTTTCCCTCCAGCAACTTTCCTGCGAAATCCTTGTCAAATGAAACATGTATATCTTCCCATGTAGGACCTGGTGTCAGGATCCAGATGTGTGTGTCCCACTGGTTTCACTGGAAAATATTGCCAAAACGGTTTGGGCCCCTGTGACAGCAGCCCGTGTCTGAACGGAGGACAGTGCGTGGCGATGGAGGGAAAGACGCCCGCCTGCGACTGCCCTCTGGGATATTCGGGAAGCTCCTGTGAGGTCGGAAAACTAACCAACAATAATAAAATAAATCATCACAGACTGGTTGATGCCAAGCAAGTAAACAGAGAGGAGACTAATAAGGATTTGCTAAGGAAGACATGGGGAGAAGATGCCATAAAAGGCAAAAATTAAACATTTTCATTAAAAATCAATAGTTTTAGTAAAGATAAATGTATAATAGCTATGTAATAGAGATGTTAGGTGGTAGTAAAAGTTCTGGTTAGACCTTACTTTCACTTACCATGGGGAATCAATTCATAATCATTTTGGATTTGTCTAACCTTCTCTTTTATTTGGTAGAATGATAATAAAACATCTTTACAGATTTCTTACATTTATTTTGATCTTCTCAGATATACTCACATAAACCCATTATTGTTTATTTACATATAGATATTCTGTTGTCTCTCCATATAAACTGTGCAGGCCTTAAACTGCTGCTTCAATTGATCTCGTTTCAGATAGCGTTGGATCCCTGCAATCCTAACCCCTGCCAGCAGGGGGCGCAGTGCCACAGCTCGGAGGGAAGATTTATGTGCACTTGTCCGGACGGTTATTATGGCAACGAGTGTGTGAGCCTCAGAAGTCCTTGTGTCGGACAGGATTGTCAAGGTGAGACACATTTGTCGTCTTCGACCGCCAAGCAGACGTCTAGACGTTGAGCTCGCTCTGACCTCTGCCCCCTTCCTCGAAGGCGCCATGTCCGACACGACCCACGGCGGCCTCAGCCTCTACATGATCCTGGTGGGAATCCTGGCTCTGGTGACCATCTGTGGCTGCGTGGTCTGCGCCGTCGTCTTCTCCCACCTGCATCGGAAGAGGAAAAAGCAGCAGTCCGTCCCGCAGGAGGAAGGCATCAACAACCAGAGGGAGTTTGTCAACCTGATCAGAAACGTGGACCGCCCGCCTGGACCCTCGCAGCCTCCCGCCGCCGCCACCACCGCCGCGCCTCACACTCACCCTCACCCTCCAGCCCCAGCCCCCGCCCCCGTGTCACGTTGCTGCGAGGAGATTGAACTCACCCTGCCGCCCTCCCCGGCTCCTTCGCACCCCTCCCCGGCTCTGAAGCCGGCCCACGCCCCCAAGCTGGACATTTCAAACCGAGAACGAGAGAAGCTGAATCGTTTCCACTGCACAGACAATCAGGAGCTGGAGGTTTGACGCTGTCCCAGACTTCTGTTTTGAGTTTGTAGCACTTTTGTTGTTGTCGTTGTTATTGTTGACAGGACCTTTGTCCCGTTATTTGCAATGAGTCCAGCATGGCCATTATGCAGACTGCGGAGACCTTTGACCTTGATGGCTCTCAGCTGATTCTTGAGGAAGGAATGCTGCTAAAATGGAAGATCAAAAGTCTTTTATACAGTGGCATCTTTGGGCATCATTTGGTGGCAAAAAAAAAGCTGTTTTTTTTTTTTTTTTTTTTGTTTTTTTTTAAACTTTTAACTGAAATCTGAACATTTAAAAACCCGCCTTTGAGTGCCTGCATTTCAACCAGGAGAGCCCTTTATCGTGTTCTGATGCGCCATCCGACGGGCGTCCAGAACGTCGTTTTTCCATTTCCGCATCATTGCGTGTTTCGCACTTGGTGACATTTGGGTTGTTGAGTGTTTGTGAGAGTGCCTGTCAGTGAATGAAAGAGTGTAAATTATGAGTGTAAGTGGTGGAGAAAAGGTCAGAAACATATTACTTAAACAGAAAAAAATAAAGTTGATCTTCTTGTCGAAAAGGGGAGTTTCTGCTCCTGGAGAAAAGGCCTTAAAGCCTCATGTTTTTTTGTTTTTTTTAACACACTGTTGCCTGTTTTGTCTCTGTAAAAGATGTATGTTTTCTTATTCATATTGGCGTGTAAAAAAAAAAGGAGCTTTTTTGTACATAAATATATTGTACATATTGATGCTGTTTTTGTACTGTGGTTCAGTATGGAAGTATCACTGTATTACTTTTCTCCGTTTGTCCCTTTTCACTTTCCATTCGGGATGATGAGGCACATGGATTGTAATAAAAGTGCATTTACCAACTTTTGTTTTACATCTTACTGAGAACTGGGAGTTTTCACTCTTACGACCTGTGTACCGCTGACATTTGAAAAGAGAATAAAGTGCAGCTAGTGATATTACCAAGTCCAGGGTAGGAATAAATCATGACAGCAGAGTTGTATAAAGTTATCACTGGCTTCGGGTATCATCATTTTTTTTTTTTGCAACTGCATCTTTCAGTGGTCGCCACCGTAGGTCATCTCTTTATATTCACCCTCCTCAACCGTCTGCATATCAGTATTTCTACTGAGGTCTCTCTCTTTCCTTCCACCCCAGCAGCATTTTCTTTTTTTTTTTTGACGATTTACCCCAGGTACTTCTGCTCATCCACCTTTAATAACCTCACTTCACCTTGCAG